TTAGAACAAGTCATGTCACCACATAGATTGCAAGTCAGGTGTGCTAAGATTTCCTACAAAAGAAACAAAAAAAAAATGTTCAAATTATGAATTCTTTTGAAACCAAATTACCTAAATTAAATAGTATGTCATTGCTGTTACTAGGCTACAGTATAGTGAGATAGAAGTCATGATGGAAGGACAGCCAAACATTAGGAAAGATTAAATATCATAGCAGCAGATCAATAACGATGATAACTGATTAAGGTGATAATGATGACAGTGATGATGATGATCACCATCATAAGTGGCAGATCCAGGAATTTGAAGTAGAGGGGACCCAGGGAGGTACTTTCACAGATAAGGGGTCCACTCACCTCAGCCCCACCATGTTTGGGGCTGGGGTAGGAAAATTTATGATTATGGCTGGAAATGGCACTCTCAGATTTTAATTTGAATATAATTTTCTTTTTCTCCTTTTTTTTTTTATAATTTAGAAAAATTTAGGGGGAAGTGGAGAGTGGGGCAGGTTGGTTGGGCCCTCTTGAATCCACCACAGATCATGCTGATTAAGATAAATGATGAGGAAAACAAATTACAGAATAATCAAACAAAATATATAATCATTCAAATCAAACCTTAATGATCAGTTATGTGTGTACAGGCTCGCTGCAAATACGATATCCCTCTTGATAAGTTCTGAAGCCTGTCGCATCTTAGCTAACAGCGTTGAGCTACCTATCTTGCGACTAGCATTTCCCACTTCACGACATGTTTCATCAAGACGCTGGATAGTACGTACAATAATTCCCTCAGAGACGTCTGTTAAGGCTGTGATGTCAGCAAATGGCTGCAAAATGATTAGGAAAAAAGAAAATACAAATAAAAATATGCTTCAATAATAAATATCGAATATGAAAAAATTTTCGGGTTATACTGAAGATAAAATAAAATACAAATTTGAAATACTAAGTCTGTATTTAACTTGAACTTGAAAGAAACTCCATTCTATATCAGGCAATATTAAGTAAAATTTAAATTTATTTGTTAAATATTTATGTGTGTTATCTTGTGGCAGCGTCGGCATGGAGTCTAGTGAACAGAAGACTATCCACCATCGTGGAAGAGGCCAATCTATTCGTTGGAAAACTTTGTTTTGAAAAAGCATTTATACAGTGTAGCAGCACCATTTCCAGGCATCCTGAGGTGCTCACCTCAGCCGCATCCAAGGATGCCAAGGTTGCCAAGGTTGAGACAGACCCCCCCCCCCATCCGCGACCTTCAACCACCTGTCAGGGAATCCAATGTTTCAACATGGTAGATTTACATGGCCATAAGAATACTGGATGATAAAAAATTATAGCTTACTGTTCCCTTAGCCCATTCATAGACAACCTCCGTCAGTCCAAATCTAAACTGCCTCACATATTCTTCAATATCAACATCAATCCCACAATCCTGCTGAAGGATGGCCAGGCTCCTAGCAATTGCCTTAATTTTCTCCATTCCCTGCAGACGACAGATGCCATATTAGATTGAAATATAAATTGTTCCATTTTTCTATTATCCAAGCTATTGCCTAAAAGTCCCTTTGAGTCAGCAATATTGTTCAAAAAATAGTTCAATAATTTAATTAACTATTTATTTATTTAATTAAATAATAAAGTTCAATTTGATATAGTGCAAAATGCTCGATCCCTCTAAGCGTTTAACAAGCAACAAAAATTTAAGAGGATTTTAATTACTAATAATATATGTTATATGTTACACTGCCCTCTGCAGGGTATCCCACTTACCTTCACAAGATTGTCAGTAAGATCCGGTGAACTGCAGGTTTTCTGTTGGAAGACCATGCAAGACAGCAGTGCTACAATCTCTTCTGCTGGTAGATCTGTGAGGACATTCTCAAAGATCAGTTCGGTCAGAATCAGCTCATGATGACTAATCTCGCATCCAACTCGACCTTTCAGCTGTAGTGACATTTTGTTGTCTATAAAATTTAACTTTTCTAAAACCTGAAATTAGAGTTTTTTTAATAAGTAATTAAAATTTTAATTAGCATATTGGAGTGAAAATTAGGAAATTTATATTTATATACTTTACCCATGTTACATACTTATCCATTTATTCTTAAAAATCAACAAGAAAAATATTGAAGCGAATTTAGAGTTTGGTTCTTGCTAATGAATGCCATTTTACACACTATTATTCATTTATGAATGCCATCATGTTGAAATACAAGTGGAGCTACCTATAAATAAGGAATTAATAATATTTGTTTATTTTAGATTAACTATATGGCACTGATGCTGATGTTCTAGACAAGAGATAAATTATTGGGATTTTACAAGATGTGGACCCAGGACACTGGAATATGCAATATGAGC